ATCATATCATACATTTAAATAGCTCTGAAATCAGAGGGCATCTTCAATTAGCAGTGTCTTACAACTGCTCTTGACCTCTATTGAAGTCAAGTCCTCTCAGAGAGAATTTATATTTGTTTTTCTCAGTCACCTGAGGCAGCGTCAACCTGAGGCTCTGCGGTGGACCTCCCCTAGGATAACCATCAACGACCACGGCCTCTTGGTATTCATGTCCTTGTGTATTCCTTCCCCTTGAGTGTGGCCTGGATCTAGTGACACAATTTCAGTGAACAGAATACAGCCAAAGTGATGGAATGTCACATCCAGGATTAAGTTACCAAAAGATTGCCCATCTTGTTGGTCTTCTCTCTCTCTCTCTCCCTCTCTCTCAATGCTTGACCTTGGAACCCAGCCACCAATCCGTGAGGAAACCTGGGTCATATGGACACACCATGTGTAGGTGTTCCAATGACAGCTCTTGAGTTGACAGCCAGCAGCGACTACCACACATGTAAGTGAACAAGACTTTGGATGATTCCAGTCATAGCCTCCAAGTCTTCCAGCATCAAGGACCCAAACGTCATGGAGCAGAGACAAGCCATCCCCACTGTGCTCAGTTTGAATTCCTGGCCCACATAAACTATGAGAGATAATACATAGTTATTCGTAATTTAAGTCACTAAGTTTGGGAGTAATTTGTTATGCAGCAAAAGATAGTTAATACATATATATGTCTGCATATATGTCTATGTATGTGTGTGTACATACCTATATTTCCTACCTCTGTCCACTGAAAGAGTCTAGAAACAATGATAAGCCAAGAGCAATGAGCACACCTAGTATGCAGATCTTGATTTCAGCATACCATTCTCCACTAAAGAAACAGCTGATTCCAGACCTGGGCCAGAAAAAGGACAATACGAGCTTGGAACATCTTGTATAGGAAAGTAATGAAGTGCTCAAGAAATAACAGAGATATGTCTAAAGGACATAAAAGCCAAGTTGGGGGCCAGCCCAGTGGCGTAGTGGTTAAGTTCATGTGCTCCACTTCGGCGGCCTGGGGTTCGAGGGTTAGGATCCCAGGTGCAGACCTACATATCGCTCATCAAGCCATGCTGTAGTGGCATCCCACATACGAAACAGAGGAAGACAGGCACGGATGTAAGCTCAGGGACAATCTTCCTCACACACACACATAAAAAGTTAAAAAACAAAAGACTTGAAGGGGCCCCCACTGGCCATATCTGGGAATATTTGAGCATCAAGATAAATAATGATTTTAAGGCATTATAACCCATTGAATAAGACAGGAATCTAAGAGTTCGTACTGATATATTAAATGAATGAATGAGTAAATAGGAGAGATGGGAAAGCCTACCTTTCAGTAGAACGCCAACTAATATCATTTATCAATAAGTAAAAACTACTTATTACCTTTACATTAGAGAAATCTGACAGACACTATATTAACCAAGTGATAAAAATTAAAATTATACCAATACTTATGGGAGAAATTGACAGCAAATGCCTCCTGATATGATGTACGAGATCACAGGACCACTTTTGGAATATTCCTACCAGAGACACATGACGTGAATCTAATCATGAAGAAACATCAGGCAAACCCAACAGTGGGGGGCATTCTACAAAGTAATTGGCCTATACTCTTCAAAAGTGTCAAGGTCAGAAAAGTCAAGGAAAGTTTGAGGAACTGATCCAAACCGAAGGAGACTAAAGAGATGTGACAACTAAACGGAAAGCATTATCTTGAATTGAACCCTGGACCTATAAAGAATATAATTGGGACAACTGGCAAATTTTGAACAAGGTCTGTGGACTAGATGGGAATATCATATGGATGTTAATTGATAGTGGACCTGTGGTTGTGTGAAAGAATGTCCCTGTTTTCAGGAAATATGTGCCAAAGTACTAAGGGTGAATGATAGAGCATGTTTGCTTACTCTCAAATGCTTAAAAAACATGAATACAGGGGCTGGCCCGGTGGAATAGTGGTTAAGTTTGTGCGCCCCGCTTCGGGAACCTGGGGTTCACAGGTTCAGACTTGGGTGCCGACTTATGCATCTCTCATCAAGCCATGCTGTGGCAGCACCCCACATACAAAATAGAGGAAGATTGGCATAGATGTTAGCTCAGGGTCAATCTTCCTCACCAACAAAAAACCCCACAAAACCCAAAAAACATGAATACTTAGATATGGAGAGAGAAAACAATAATAAAAATGTGGTAAACTGTTTGGGGAATCTGAGTGAAGGCACACAGTTTTGTACTTTTCTCACAACTTTTCTGTAAATTTGAAATTATTTCGGTATAAAATGTTCTTTAAAAAGAGGCCTTCTCAGTTTGTTGTTGGTATTTTAACTTGGTTATTTTTTGCTTAACAGAAGTTTTTAAAAAATAGTCCAATTTATCAACTTTTCCCTTTTGGCTTTTGGGCAATGTGTCCTGCTTAGGGAGGTCATTTGAAGAAAGTCCCTGGGTCAACAGCTAATTAAAGAGGCAAAGTGGCAAGATTGATTCTATTTCTGGGAGAGAGGCACCAATGGGCATTGAGAAAGAAGTGCTCAACTTTTCACTGACTCCATAACTTAGGAGATGGAAATGGAGCCCGACAGCTATATTGCTCTGTTTATCTTCAGTTGAATTTCTGGCAAACACCTCAAATTCAACAAAACTAAAACCCAGCTAACCTTTTCCCTCAAATTAGTCACTGCTCTGGACTTTCCTATTTATGACGGTCTCTCAGGTATCCACACTCAGGAGTCATCTTTGCATCCTCCTCTTCTTCCTGCCACATCTAACCAGAAAATGACGTTCCTTACTTTCTTCATATTCTGTGTTCTGCCACCTCCCTATTCCAGATCCTCGTCCTTCAAGTCTGAATTGTCAGTATATCCTTCTCCATTTATCTTCTGGTGCTGCTCTTCGATGACCTAACCCTCGAGGAAAGTTCTCATGGACCCTCCCGCCACCACTATAGCCTTAAATTGTTTATTATATATAGTGTTAAAAATATGTAGAAACATAAAACTGGATATCAACTTCTTATCCTTAGAGCTCTCATTCCACTCTAAAACCAAAACAAGTTTACAAATCAAATACAAACAAAAGCGTAAAACTAATAAAACTCAAATTAGCATATAGTCCCAGATGATGTTCTATTGACTGTTCTATTGCTCACCCCATAGTTGTTGCACTGATGGCCTTCTGGAAACCCATGTGCCTGTACTATCATGGGCACTGATGGCCAACTTTCCCACCATTTTCTTCTTGGGACTTTTACAAGACCTTGATTAGTATAGTCAGTCACCAGGAAATTGGCCTTCGCTTTGACATAGATGCATCATTTACCTATGAACTCCTCTTCCACTCTTTTCTCATCAGCTTGTGACAAAGGAACTTGGTTTCATAAATACAGATGCAGATAAGGGCGATGAAACCATGACATTATATGGGAATACACAGCTATAAATGGTCATCTAGATAAAATTTTATCTATTTCTTAGATTAAAATTTTAAATACTCATAGCAGCATTATTCACAATAGAAAAAAACGTAAGCAGCAACCCAAACGTCTATCAACAGATGAATGGATAAAGAAAATGCAGTATATACATAGAAATGGATTATCATTTAGGCTTAAAAGGGAAAGAAATTCTTGACACATGGATAAACCTGAGGACATTGTGCTTAGTGAAATAAGGCAGTCATAAAAGGACAAACACTGATTCCACCTACGTGAGTAGTCAAATTCATAGATACAGAAAGCAGACTGGTGGTTGCCAGGGGCTGGGGTGAGGGAGTCGGGGGATGAGGAGTTAGTGTTTAATGGGTACAGAGTTACAGGTTTGCAAGATGACGAGAGTTCTGTGGATGGATGTGGTGATGGTTGTGCAATGTAAACGTACTTAACACTACTAACTGTGCACATACTATTGTACACTTGAAACCTACACAATGTTATAAACCAATGCTATCTCAATTTTTAAAAAGGGAAAAAATTGGTTAAGATGGTAAATTTTACATTATGTGTATTTTACCACAATTTCAAATTTTTAAAATATTATCATCAGTTAAAAGACCAAAATTTTTAAGTGCTTGCAGAGAACTCAAGGGGTCTGATTGAATATTTTTGTAGACCCCAGAGCCCACACTGCTTTAATCCCTTCTCCACCCTCTATCTCTAGCCTGGGAGCCTAAGCGACCTTACTCTGACTCCTCACTACACTTCACTGTTAACCTCTCAACTCTCCGCAGCACCAACGTGCAGCTCCAGCTGACTGGTGTCCACTAAACTCAACCCACTTTCTCACTTCTTCGCGTTGGCTTGTGCCTTTCCTCATCTGAAACACACTCGTCTCTCTGCTTGTAGTATCCAATCCTTCCATTTGGTTAAGTCCCTTCTCTTCCTCGCCATGGGATTGTCTCAGACCACAGGGACTTCTCCCCATCAAAGGGTGTCAATACTCCCCAGTTAGCATTAATCACACATTCTAAATTATTTTATCACTTATTCTCCTATCACTCAATAAATACTTATCGAGCATATGCCACATACATGACAATGTGCTAGGCCCCTAAATCAAATGCTATGTTTTCTACTTTTTGTCCCTCTCATAGCCCCTTACACATTTCACAAACATTTACTGCAGTGGTTTGGATGATGTTATACTGGCCTGTACTGTCATATTCCACATACAGACAGCAAATTTTAAACTGCTGAAACAAAAAATTAATCTCAGGACTTGCCTAAAGTAACAGGATGTTTTGGTGGTGGTGGTAGGGTTTTTTTTGTATCAATCTTAAAAATCAGTTGTCAGTACAATAAACATTTCAGGACTGAGTTCAACAGGAATCATGTAGTGGGAGACCCTAGTCCTAGTTATTGGAAGTTTCCATGATGATAGCAGTCATGTCATTTGGTCATGAATGTCTGTGATCAGAGCATCAAGAGCACGTGCTGTTTCCAAAGTCCTCCCTGAATATGATTCACCTAACAGACATCTGCACCAACACAAATCATTTTATTCACACGTTAGAACAGTGTTTGAGTAGACAATGTTTTAAGGACACTTAATACAATCAATGTTTTGAACTCAGATTTGAATTAAAAAAAAAGTATATTCAAGTTCTGGGTATTTTACTTACAGAAATTTGCATGTAACCTACTTCTTTCTGCACAAAGATAAAATACTATGTGTATTTGCTTAATTCCCCATTATTTTGCTAGTTCAACATGATTTTGTACTCCCAGTCATTTCAGTGTGAGTCTAAGGTTACATTCTTTCACTCTCAGCCTTTTCCGAGCTTCATTTTCTCTCTTTATGCATTCGAGTATAGCTTCGAGATACAGGGTGGTCCTTCCCAAGGTCCACAACAATTACCTCCCTAGAAAATGTCACTCCTTTCAAAGGTCTTTTTTGGTTATCAACAACTGAAGGAGTTCCAGTGACTGGTATGGGTGGTTTTTGCAAGTCATCATCCTGCAAGAGAATGAGACAAACGTTATAAATGATCAATTTATGAATGCAACAAGCCCTTTTTTAAAAAGTATAGGTTATATTTACATTGTTAGTGAGAAACAGAAAAAAGCATTTCTAAATGATATATGACAGCAGTGATAATCCATCATGGTCCCATTTTCATATTTCTGTGGTTATAAAAGCATACGCTGACATATTCAAATAGCATTTTGATGGCGTGTTATCCTCTCTATGAAGCAGCCAAACCCAAGAGCCACTTGAATCATCATTCTGCCTCTGACTGGGCGTGAGTCTTGTGTTGGGAGGGCATGTGAATTGGTCTTATTAGGGAGCCCCAAACATGGAGCTCAAGAAGACCCTGGCAATGTCTGTGTGCTGTTGTAGAAGGAGCCTGGAACTAGAGCAGAGACACAGGGTCTGGTCCTGAGCTCAACCATGATGGAGGAGTAACCTTGAACAATTCTTCTCATTTTCTCATTTGTAACATAAGAGTGCTAGATCTCTAGATGATCTCCAAGGCCTCCTCCAACTCTAAGATCCTACGATTCTGAGAAAAGCAAAATGAAGGGGAAGTATTAAGAAAAACACAAATGTAAGAATGAAGAATTAGCAGGTATCTAGGTTTGGCATATGTAATTGGTTTAATAACATGAACTGAAAAGCTAAGAGGAATGGTTTAAATGACTGTGGACATTGTACTCCTTCCAAAGACACACCTAAGTTTTAGCCAAGACCACCTCCCATTACACCTAGCCAAGTAAATTACCTACTTTCAATCAAACGCATTCTAAACTGCCCCTCGAGAGTAGAAAAGCCCATCACCTCTTGAACATTTTCTCCAGCATTCTCAGGCTTTTGCTTCTCTTTTATTTTGGCCACCTCTCCATCCTCCACATCCCCTCTGTTTTCTAAGGGTGTGGCCAGCACTTCTTTACTCTGTCTCTGAACAAGAATGCCAGGCCTCATGGGTGTGAGAGTCCTAGGAAACCAATCAGCAGGGTTTTTAAAATTCATTTATCTTGGTATCATTATCACACAAAAAAATGGCTTTCTACCATATTCTACGACACAGACTTACTTGTCTTTGTCTCCTGAATTGTCCGTCTCCACATTAGCAGCTAAACAATCTTCATCTCTATTAGCATCTGTACAAGGATATTTTTCTGTTTCTTCATCTGTACTTTGGACACTGAAAATGAGCATGCAAAAAGTTCAGAAAAGGAAGAATGGTCTTGATTTTAAGGCTTGGCATGGAACTTTAAACAGAAAATTAGCATTTCTAAAACCCTGAAATGGAAAAAGTAGATAGCTACAGCATTATTATTTGCTCTATTTTAAATTGTTTTATATTATTTCTAGATACATTTGCTAGTGTGACTTGAAATCTGATCCCAATTTATCAGCTTGGATTTATACCATTTAAATAAAAAAACCACCAATAAAAGGCAGATGCAAATGAGGCAAATTATAAGGAGGATGTAGAAAGTGATTGCTGTGGTTGCAAAGCTCATAGGGTTAGCTAGAAGACTCGTCCACTCTCACAATCACAGATTGTCCAAATATTCTTTTCCAGCCCAGTTTGAATGTAGTTCTCTTGTTCTTTAAGTTTTCTAGAAACAGAAGAATAAAAGGCTGTTTTCATTGTTGTCCTTTTGTTCAGCTTCATAAAAGATGCTCTGTTTGTTTTGGTGGAGTTGACTCACACTGGCTAATTTCTCTCCATAAATTGATAGGGGCTGAGATGGCTAGAGGGGAGACTGAGCTGGGACACGTGTGATCACTCAGCTCACCTCCCCTCATCCCAAAAACTATCAGAATCCAAAGGAGAGAGGAATTGGAGCAGCTGGAGCCAAGCCCAGTGCCCCATTCTTCTCTCTTCAGTGACATCACAGAATCATGGAACCACTGAGTTAGAGGGACCAGAGCACTAGCCCAACTGCACCCATCACCTGGAGTCAGGAGAACCATGAAATTCTCCTCTGAGCTGATGTCTGTCTGTCCTCTCCTCTGAGAGGGCTGGGGTGGAGGCCGCAAGGCACCACCTTGGCCACTCTTTGGACAAGGATTTTCTTCCTACTCTCCAAACCCTTTCTTCATCTGAGCCTGTTTATCTTACTACTTCTTTCACAGACAATGAACAATCAGTCCACCACCTTCTCATAAAATCTCTCTCTATAGCCTTGAGATCAGTAATCCACTTACCTCCTAATGGTGCTCTCTCCAGGCTGAACAGCCCATATCCTTCTAATCCCCCATCACCGGACCTACTTGCTGGACACACACAAAAAAACCTGGCAGCTTTAGAGGCCATGGCTGAGGAAGCAGGAGCAGAAAAAGACGATCAGAGTAAAGACGACCCCTGGCCCCGATCTAACTTCGGGTGAGGAAGTGAGGCTCATGACAAGGAGGAGGAAGACAGAGCTAGGATTTTCTGAGAAGAAAAGGAGGGTACAAAGGAGTATGGCAGCTGTTGCCAACTCTGTGTAAAAAAGCCAGAAGGTGAGCCCTGAGGGTCTTTGGGCTGCAGCGACACTGGCTCTCCTCCAGAAGGCCAGGGACCATGGCTTCTTTATATTTGGATACTCCACCAAGTCAACACTTACGAATTCCATGAATGTTGAATGAATTGTGATGTGTGTATGTGTGTGTGTGTGTGTGTGTGTAAACACAAGGAGAATTTGTGGGAGGGTTTAGGCCAAGGCCAATTCTACAGAATACGTGAAAGTCTGAGCCACTTCTGGCTGAGTCAGCTGAATTTTTGGATGCCTCCTCGAACCAAGGCTCCCAGGTGAAGACTCGGAGCCCATCTTACCCTCTGTAGTCTACGCTACTGCTAGCCTGAGACTTTAAGAGCCCAAATTTTCTCATGTCTCATGTACACATAAAGAATTTTTCTGGGAGATGAGAATATTTTATATTGATCTACTGATGGTTACACAGGTCTAGACATATGTGAAAATCCATCAAACTGTGTACTTAAGATTAGTGTACTTTATGCCCTCTACTATGTGGATATTATACCTGAACAAAAAGGAAAAAACGGCCCATCCCCATGCCTGAATTTGAGTGTATGTGGTGCAAAGAGTAGTGCTGGCCTAGAGCACATTGCTGCCACTTGGTCCTGCCTTTGATATGTATTATTCCATTATATGATGGTACTTCTATTTCTCCATTCCACTGTTGATAAACATTTGAGTTGTTTCCAGGTTGTGGCTATTATGAATAGTACTATGAACATTTTTATACATATCTTTTGGTGGATATAGCATTCCTTTCTTTCTTTCTTTCTTTCTTTTTTTTTTTTTTTGAGGAAGATTAGCCGTGAGCTAACTACTGCCAATCCTCCTCTTTTTTCTGAGGAAGACTGGCCCTGAGCTAACATCTGTGCCCATCTTCCTCTACTTTCTATGTGGGATGCCTACTACAGCATGACGTGCCAAGCGGTGCCATGTCCGCACCCGGGATCCGAACTGGCGAACTCCGGGCCGCTGAGAAGTGGAACGTGCGAACTTAACCACTGTGCCACAGGGCCGGCCCCAGCACTCCTTTCTGTTGGCTGTACGGAATGGCACAGACAGGTCACAGATAGGCCTTAGAAGACACCACAAGACAGGTTTCCCACATCAACTTTTTGGTATTGTCAGTCCTTAAACAATATGGAACAAATTATTATTTTTTGTTAATAACAACATTATTATTAATAATATATAGATTATTATTAATAATATATTATAACATAATATTTATTATATTATTACATAATTATATTATAATATATAAATAAAATAAATAATTTCTGTAATATAAAGATAATATTAATAATTTGTTAAACAATATGGAACAAATCATTATTCACCTTGGGAGGATGATATGGAGCCAAATTGTTATTTAAACTAGTAAATAAGGGGAAAAAGATCAAGAATTTTTCTGTTTTTCTTATATGATCTCTATCTCAGAGTAACCAAATGATGAGAAATTTCTCTCTAGAAAGGAGTTCTAAGAAACAGAAAGAGAACTATATTAGAACTTGAATATTATCATTTTGCAGTCCCTCATGCACAAATGGATCTAGGCATTGCTGCTAACATCACAAAATAGACAACCAGACACAACGTGTTCTGTAATGGAATTACACATCACCACCTATGAAGTAGTCTTACCCCACCACCTTGAAAAAATTTGAATCTCAATCTGAACCAGCTAATGGAGTTATCAGACATAGATTCTAAAATAGTAATTCTTAATGTTCAAGGAAAAAAGACAAGATACCTTTGGCAGAGCACTGAAAGCTATAATAAAGAAATAAATGGAAATTCTAGAACTGAAAAACACAATAATAGAAATTAAGAATTCAATAAATGGGTGTAACAGCAGAAAAAGCACCTCCCATTAAAAAAAATTGATTACTGAACCACATTAAAATCAAGAAATTCTGTTCATCAAAACATTAAAGTGAAAAGGCAAGCCAAAGACTATTTGTATACAAAGGACATATATTCAGAATGTATGAAGAATGCCTATAAATCAATAAGAAAAAGACAACCCAATAGAAAACGGGCAAAAGACCTGAATGGCTACTTCACACAAGAGGATATCCAAACTAGTAAATATAAATGGCAAATAAATTAAAAAATATAATTATAACAGACCAAGAGCTTTTGCTTTTTTTAAAAAAAAAGGTTTCATCCATATTTCTGAAGAATGTGAATAACATAAATCATAATTAAATTTTTAAAAATACTTTCAAGACTAAGACAATTAAGATGATGGAAGAACACACACTTAATTGTTAATAGCAGTTACCTTTAGAAGGTGAAATTATGGGAGATTTTTCACTTTTTATATTGCACATTTCCAAGATTTTTAAAAAGTTACTGTAGTTTTATTATTTTTGTTTTTAACCAATAACATTCACATGGTTCAAAAAGTAATAATACATTATAATGTATACATTGAGAAGTTTCTCACCCTATCTCTGTCCTTCCTCCCATCTGACAGGAAACCATGATTATTAGTTTCTTGTGTATCTTTCCAGAATTTAAGGGGAAACAAGAAAGGATCATACAATCTTATTCTCCTTTCCTACCCAAAAGGCATACCTTATACACTGTTCTGCATGTGGGCTTTTTTCACTTAGCAAAATATCCTGGAGATCTTTCCATATCAGTACACAGGGAACTTCCTTATTCTTTTTCACAGCTGCATAATGCTCCATTGTGCATATGTACTATCATTTTTAAAATCAGTCCTCTGATCAATACTTGGGTAGTTTCCAATCTTTTGTGATTACAATCAACAACCTCATACATCATTTCATATATAAGCAAGTGTATCTACAGGAAAAATTCCCAAAAGTGGAATTGTTCCATCAAAGTGTAAATACAGCTGTGGGTTTTTTTTGTTTTGTTTGAGGAAGATTGGCCCTAAGCTAACATCGGTGCCAGTCTTCTATTTGGCATGTGGGATGCCTGCCACAGCATGGTTTGATGAGCATGTGTAGGTCTGAGCCAGGGATCCCAACCCACAAACCCCAGCAGTGGAATTGCAGCAAATGTAACCACTGTGCCACCGGCCAGCCCCGAGCTCTGGTTTCGATAACCACTAAGGGTTGTGATATTCTGCTCTCCCATCACCATTGTAAGACAGAGCCTGGTTCCCCATGTCTTCCTATATAGAGTATCCGTTTCAATGTTTGCCAATCTGAGGAATGAAAAATAGCATCTCAATGTAGCTCTAATATGCTTTCTCTTAGTACAACCGATGCTAAGCATTTTTTCGTATGTTTAAGGTCTATTGCTAACTCTCTTTCTGTGAATTCTTTGTTCTCCAGTCCTTTGGCTATTTTTCTATCTGGTGGCTGATTGTAAATGGTTAGATATTTTACATTGAATATTTAATATACTTGTATTTGAAAAAAATGATTCAAGAGAAAAAAAGACGTCAAAACTCCTGTTATAAAAACTAATACACCAGGCTTTCTCCTACGAGCCTGCATTCGGCCGAAGAAGACGCACAGAGACCCTCCAACCACCTCCACAGGAGCCGGGAACCGAGAGCGCATGCTCCAAAGAGTCACGCTTGACGCCGAACATCTGTGTGCGAATGCTCACTTGATTCTTACCGGAAAAGTTGTGTGCGCATGCTCCAAACAGCCCGCGCGTCAACTGATTCCCAACGGAAAATCTGTTGCGCATGCTCATAAACCCCTAAGCGCCCGGGAAACTCCGCGGAGTACTGGCGCCGTGGGTCGAGCCTTGCCTTTTGCTGTCAGAAAATGAGCCCAGGCACCACCTCGGTGTGAGGAAGGAATTCCAGCGCGTCACGACAGGGCATCTTCCTGTGGCTTCCTCAAACAACAATAACCCCCACTGCCTTACAGCGGCGGGTATTCATCACCCGCCCGCCTCTAAACCGTGTTTAAAGCCAGCTTTTTAAATCGATGCTTTATGTTGAGAAAGTTGGTTAAAAATGATTTTCAAGCGTGTCACGAGTTTAATAGTATGCTGTATATTTTTTAGTATTCCATAGGCAGCGCCAGAGAGAAAGGCGCCCAGGCAGAAGAGCCTGAAATAAAAACCCCTACCTGTTGAAAAGATACTCTGACTTTCCCCATTTGGTTGATGCGATGGAGGATTAAACCTTACAGAAAGCTGCCACCGACTCTGGAAAGGATGCTGCACCAGTCACGTTTCTGCGTTTTGTGAGACTTTGTGAAAACTCTAGAAACAGTGCAAGAAACTCGTTTCTTGAGGGACCAGTGAATTTTTTATGTCTTGCCAAACATTACTTTAATATTTTAAATCTCTCTCTCTAAATAATAGGTCGAAATGTCAGGATAGTACCGGGTAAGAGGAGGGTGTGATGGAGATGGCTGAGTCG